TCATAGTTCACATGCAAAAGACTTGTTTTCAAGCTAGACTGTTCAGTTACACTGTTCTAGATGGTACTTTAATGCACTGTTACACTGTTCTAGATGGTACTTTAATGCACTGTTACACTGTTCTAGATGGTACTTTAATGCAGTGTTACACTGTTCTAGATGGTACTTTAATGCACTGTTACACTGTTCTAGATGGTACTTTAATTCAGCGTCTGAAGTTATGCTCTTGAGTTCAGTAAAGTCTGTCACTAATGATTGAATTGGAGACAGTTTCTTCCAAATATGGTAATGCAATACCTTGTCATTATTGTAATACAAATGTTCTCAATATTACTAATCTTACAAAGTCTGCTGTACAAATGAGCACTAAACTACAGCAATGTTATGGAATGTATATTCTGTTGTGCTCTATACCAGGGTTCTCAAACTTATTACTTAAAGGTCTGCATCTGATTTTATACAAGGTCAGAGGTTAGGAATCATTGGCAAAAACAACAAAATGTAATCACTTCAGTTATGATTATGTCTCTTCATTGAGCCAGCATGCATAGAAACCCTATGTTAGATAGAAACTGAGGCAGACACAGCTCAGACAGTTTGGTAGAAGTTATTAAGTGAAATAAGTTATTAAGTGAAATTAAATATCAGCTGAATAAGATTAAAGTGAGAGCTCTGTACTATCGGTTCTGGTTCTTGAAAACAGAAAGACTAAGCGCTCCTTGTACTGTCCACTCTTTGCTACTCTCCTCCTATGTATCCTCTGCTAGCTTAACCTGCTACTTTTCTTCATTCGAGCACAGACAGATGAACAGTGATGAATGCATGTTGTTGCTGAATGTGTTTCTGATCCGCTCTAAGCACTAGAAGGCTAGACATTATTAAAATACAAGGAAAGTCAAGCTTTGTGTTTATTGTAGGACTTCTGGATGTTGACTGGCTGTCGGGATGAATGTGGTAGCCTAGGGCTGGGTATTTAAAAGGCCCTGCATACTTTGGTTTTAAATGGGTGAGGATTTATAATGTGCAAAAATAGCAGATTTTATAACACACAACTTCTTGCAGAAAATGGTTAAAGACCAGATAGAGAGAGAGAGAGCCAAGATATCAGACATCTGACATCTTTGTCATATATATATTGCTTTAGTTAAATGTCTGTCTTTGACAACAAAAATGTGTTTTCAGCTTTAGTGTGATAAAAGAATAACTTCTGGCATTTAAGAAAAACAAAGTAGGCTACTGTATGTTCGCATAACACAGCATTACTTGGCTAATATGACAATATCATGCAGTTTAAATGTGCAGACTTGCCTATATGATGAAATGATTAAGCAAAGTTAAGGAAGCTGATTTGTTTCCTTCTTYAATTTCACTGATTGAGAAAGACAGACATTACTACARTGGAGTACATAATAAAATGTGTSTGATGTGTTTAATGTTGCTCCTGGCAGGAACACACTGACACACCTTACTTCTCCACTTGGTGAGAGACTGTAGGTCCTAACTCACTCCCTTTGGAAAATCCTCCGTTCCTTCCTGTTTGTGTTTGCACAGTCAGCTCTATAAAAGCACAAGTTAACACAAGTTAGTTATATCTTCACAAAATTGGTGATTAACTTTAATAACGTAACAATCTCTGAGATCTTAATGACATACATTTTACGATAAAAAAAACTTTATGAAGGTCAGCAACACCTACAGCTAATTGAGCTCAAGCTAGCTACAGAGCTAGCTTTCACTTATCCAGGCAACCTGAACTAATGAAACAGACCTAATAAAACATCTGAAATGTCAACAGTTCAATAATCATGCAGACAAAGCAACACTGGACACTAACAATTTCAGGAGATAAGCATAACTTTACTTTACCTGCTCTGATGAACTCCACATGGACTTCTGGAATGATATGACGGAGCTGTGCTCTCCAAAGTCGAGTTTGGGAAAAGCCAGTTAGTATATTGTCACTCAAAAATGAGGAGTTTGAGGAGTTTGATCAGTAAAGAAGTGCTATCATGAAAATAGAAACAWAAGACTGCAATCATCAGTAAGATGCTGATGGATAATGACTGGACTTAAGAAGGGATGTTTCCACTGCTTGACAGAAAATACTGTTTTATGCTGTTAAATTACAGTTTAACTGTAATTGTAACTGTAGTTTAACTGTAACTGTCAGTTAACTGAGCATTAACTGTTAATTTACATGTAAGCATGAATATTTAACAGTATTTTACAATTATTATAAAATACAGTAGGATACTGTTGTAAATCCACCGTAAATATACAGCAATTCATTACAGTGTATATTCCGTCTCATCTTTCTCTCTTTTCTTCTGCGCTTTCTTCCCCTGCCTCCCCTCCTCTCTCTCCTGCTCCTCATCCATCCTTCATCCATGTTCCCTCTCTGTCTGATACACTTGATAATCACACAAATTAATATGATAACTAGCAATTGCTTCAGTCTTCAGTCTGCTATCAAGTGTGTAGAAAAAGCTCAGGTTGCAGTATGGTAGTTACTGAAAGGGAAGAGAAGCCGGATAAGAGCTAAACTAAACCAGCTTGGACGTAAGAGAAGAGAGAGATGCATTGTGCTGCCACATACTCTTACTGGTCAGTGCCTACTGCCATATTTAGCTTGTAACAGTCTGTGGTGCCAGAAATGACATCAGCATCTTTTGCATCTTGCCACAGAGATGTCAGACAAGGAGTAGTCACTAGTTTGTATTGAGGGGTTCCTTTTTCAGCAATCCACCACTAGTGATTTATTTTATTTGCCAATGTATGTTGTGAGTCGCATGATGTGAGTGGTGGATCCTCGATTGTCAGTTTCCCGTTTGTCAGTGGCTCCATCTGTCCCCCCTGCCTCCCTCTCTCTCTCTCTTTCCCTTTTTTTGTTTTTTTTGCAATCTGCGACACTCTGGCCTCTCAGAGCTGAACACATACACATACATACATGCATGTACACGCTCACGTTTGTCACACACACATCGCTGGGGGCCAAGGAAGCTAATTGCATGGTGCCCTGGGTGTTAGAGTAACGTGTCCCTGTGTGGAGCGGTCAAACACATGTGAACAACAACAGTCGCACACATTGTGGGCTGCGACCCTGCGATCATGACCGAGGAAAACAAATGGCATTGAGGTGTACACACATTCTGGCATACATATACATACGCGCACACATGGGATATATTTTTCCATAAATAGCTTTGCCTTTCTTCCTTCACCTTTCAAATGTTCCCCTCCTCCCCTCTGCCATGGGAATGGTTTTTCCCACAGGAAGCAAGCAAATAGGAAAAAGGTGAAGAAAGGGAGAAAGAATAGAACAGGAACAGAGTGGTATTCATATCCCTCCTTCATATACTGTCAATATTGATACTTCACTGTACTTTATATTCATTTTAAAAGTCAAACCTCCTCTTTACTTCTATCGTCATCATGTTTTCCTTCCTCTGGCCGTCCCTCCCTTTGTCTTGATCCCTCATTCATCTCTACATTTGCACTCACTCTCTCTCTCTCTCTCTCTCACTCACTCTCTCACTCTCTCCACTCACTCTTGCTCCTCTTTTAAATGTAACTATTTATCTTGTGACCTTAACCAGACAGGAGGATTGATTTAAAAAGACACTGTGTGTGTGTGTGTGTGTGCGCGCGCATTAGAGAATGTGACAAACAAAATTAGTTGTACAATGAGATACTCCCTCCGTTGTCTCTCTCTCTCTCTCTCTCTCAGTGAACTCGCCCTCGGACGTTATGTACATGGAGCCAAACAGTGATGTCACACTAAATCTCACTCAGTCTCCGGACCACGCTATCACACACTAACACTTTCATACAGCCCTATGTTGCTGTTTCTGTTTGAGTGTTTATTTGTTTTGTCTGTGTGGGTGGTGTGTTACCAGAACGTACACAGCAGAACATATTTAACTGACTCATAATGATGTGTGTGTGTGTGTGTGTGTGTGTGTGTGTGTGTGTAGTCCTGGTTCAGGTTTTAAAGTCTGACCTGTTAGATCGCGTCAAAGAGACCAACCTTCTGATTTTTAAATGCTGTAAAGGTTTAATTTTTGATCCTCAATGTTGAGGTTGTATTTATTTTGTATCGTTGTGCAAATTATTTTTCAAGAGTGTTGGGTCCTGCCCCTATTCCACGTTATGCACTAAAGATGGTATTGTTGCCTGTTCCTTTTGGTTTCTATGGACACATTATTGTAAATGCAGTAGATAAGAAGTAAAAATATATATCTATGTGTAAACATTGTCGTAATTAATCTGTACTGCAGGTTTGTGCCCTTGTCTGAGTATAGAGAGAAGTCTATTGGAAAATGTGTTGACATAAGCATGTATGCTTGATTGAAACCCCGTCATTGAGCCACTTCAAACCTTTATATAAAGATGGACGACGCATCTGCACTTCCTCCCACCTTTCAGAAATGAAGCTAAAATATTCCGGATACAAACACTGCCATCTTGTGCATTTGGAGACATTTGAAGTACGCCAGAGTCAATACACGCACTCGACCAAATAAGCATCAAATAACTTAAACTTAAAACTGGTTAAACAGACATCAATAGCTGAAACGATAGAAACCATCTTTAAGAAAAATATATTTGATGTGTACTTTTTAGTTTGGTTCAATCCACTAACATGGAGGAGGTCGGATTTATGACCTATACTGCAGCCAGCCACCAGGTGGTGATCAAGACACATTTGCTTCACTTTTCATGTCTTCATCTTTTTTTTACAGTCCAAGCTGAGAACGGGTACAAATTTGCATTGATTAAGGGATTTGATTATTTTAATTGATGCAGCATATTGCAGCACATCCTGTTGGAAAATTATGAAGGTGACGCACTTGATTTTATGATTATGTAAAAAAAAGTACCAATGCCAAGCTGTATTTTTAACTGTTCAGATTTATGATTGTGGAAGTGTTTGTTCCTTGACTGACCTTCCTCACTCCATTTGAGTGGATGATTCTCGCCACCATCATTGCCAACTGCATCGTCCTGGCTCTGGAACAACATTTGCCCGATGGAGACAAGACGCCACTGTCTGAGCGCCTGGTGAGTTAAAAAGACACGGTACTGTGTGGGAGTCATATGTAAACATGATTAAATCCAGGTGACAGTTCAGAGTCCTTATTGATTTTACTTCAGTGGAGATGTATGCAGCTACTCAGCTAAGAGAGGCAAAGAAAACGAGGATGTTTTTTCTCCTCGAAAAACTACGACAAATGAGAACCATACGCATTCTTATTCATAGCATTACATCGTATAGGATTATGCAGTGCAGTATTTATAAAGAGACATCATCACAACAAGAAATAATAATGTTATGACTGAAATAGAGTTGTCAAGGGATTCAATAATTAATCCAATTAGTGCATATTTTGTGATTGATTAATTAAAATGAATCTCATATCAATATTTGCTGTAAGAAGCAAGTTAAATAGTGCCACAAATAATGCATTTACAAATCTTTTGGAAAAAGGTAGATGCTGCCTATATGGTGTCAAGGAGCATTATAGAGTGAAATGAATCTATTTTCCCTCAATCAAAATTAACATATCATAATTAACTTTTATTTACATTCACAAAGTTGGAAAAGACCCCAGATCCTCTAGCCACCACCATCTCTCTCACTTTCTTCTTTCTTAACCTCACTTCCTCCTCCCTTTTCCTTTCTTTTCGCCCCTTGCCTCCCTTGTTTGCTCTCTCTCTCCCCTCAGGATGACACAGAGCCGTACTTCATTGGGATCTTCTGTTTCGAGTCTGGAATAAAGATCCTGGCTCTTGGTTTTGCCTTTCACAAGAACTCTTACCTGAGGAATGGATGGAACGTCATGGACTTTGTGGTGGTGCTCACAGGGTGAGTGGCGAGCAAACAGACATGAGCCAAACACATGCAGTGCACACACGCACAGCTTGTAACCTGCATGAAGACAAAAATGCTTACACGGTTAGCATCAGATGTGGTGTGTGTGTGGGTGCGTGTGTGTGTGGGTGTGTGTGTGAGCAAGTGTGTGTGTGTTCTCTGCTCCTTTGCCCTAATGAATGGCCCCATTCTGTGTGAGGCAGCAGTCAGATCACAGAGCAGAGCTGCAGGTGGCCAACTACCCGGGTAGTGAACAAATGTCACCACAATATACACAGAGACAGGGGGCGGGGGGCACAGAGGGAACAGACATTAGAGAGAACGTAAGAAAAGCGGATTAAAAAAAAAATCAATTGTGTTGGAGAAATATGGCGTTAATCAGAATTATTGTGCAGAACCACTTTAATTATTTACGGAGCGATATCATCTGTGAGTCAGCAGAATAAAACTAAATAAACTGTCTCTCTTGATAAACAGTTTCTATAACACACATTTAAACTTTGGGAGAGAATGATCTTGAAATTGAACAAAGAATCAGATCCGTAAAGTGAGTAAAAAGTAAGCTACAGAAAACAAAGTCAATGGCCCCATATGAAAACAATCGCTCGCCACATTCGTTTAAGTGTGTGAACACGTGTGCCAGGCCACACATGAACGATCGCCTTCTCAGCTGACGTCCTCTGTCCTGCCACAGTTTCACAATGAACCATAAATATTTCCCATACATTGATTTATTTGTGGCCACTGCCACCTTTTCAACATTGGCCACCACATATTGATTTTTTTTTTTTTGCTATTTCAAATGAGTGAAACCTTATTTCATTGTGAGACTTCACTGAACGCAGCACATTGATTTGCTCAGCCTCTCCATGGCCCACACTTCCTTTCTCTTTCTGTCTCTCTCCCACACACACACATACACACACACACAGACATCATTCTAACATAGTCCGAAAGACTAAAAACAACACTGTTTGGTATTTAACAAAAATGACGTACAGCTCTTGAAAATGTTGAAGAGACCACTATAAGATTATCAGTTTTTCTGATTTTACTATTCATAGGTAAGTGTTAAGAAAAGACAAATATTTTTGTTCTATTCTTTAAGCCACAGACACAATTCCAAATTTAACAGACATTGGAGGAAATGGCTGCAGTACATGTAAAGATACAGATTTAAGACAAATCTGAAGTGGTCTCTTGATTTTTTTCCAGAGGAGGGAAGTGAGGTCCAATCATAAGTGGTCAGAGACACTGACAAACTTAGATCTGTCTCCTTGTGATTAATTCACGGATGCCAGGAATGAGCAGGGCCTTTTATTTTAACACCAGTTCCAGATTGATACCACGCCTGAGAGGTGAATGGCCTTAAACCTAATTTACAGCTTGTGAGAAAGGCTGCGTCCTGAAATGCATTTCACCTCAGGAAGATCTTATGTGGTGCTCTGCTCACACGTATCCTACACTGCAGGAAATGATGGAAAACAAATAAGGGATAGTACAAGATCGACAACATAAAACAGTCTTATCTTATTGATTATTCTGACATGTTATTTTAAAGCTCAGTGAAATGGTGAAGATGAGGGCAAAGGGAAGAAATTTGGATGCAGTCTGGGGCCTGTGACAGAAAGGGTGTCAACAAGGGAGAATTAAAACCCTTGATAGGATTAGCATAGAATTACTGTACCGATTAGATTATAGGTCATAGAAATGGACCAGAGTAAATAGATGACATAATGTAGTGACAGAAATAAAGCTTAACGATCGCATGTACACAAATGCAGTTTTTTTTCCCATTTTATACCCATCATGTCATGTGTCTGTTAATGCATCCATCCGTGTGACACATGACTGTATGAAATGTCATTCCTTCCTTTCTTTCATATCTACGAAAGTGCTGCAGGCTGTGTGCTGATATGTTTGCAGCTGTCGCACGCTGGTCTTTGTGCCACAGTTCGTATTTACAGATTAATGTGATCAGATGAGTGATGGTTAGTGAAAAGAGGGAAATCTGCATTAAATGTCCACGAAGGTCTTACTGTTGCAGACCCTCAGTTAACTGCAGCTCCAAGCTCAGATTTGCCTGAGCACGTCTTATAATCACAAAGCCTAAGAATTAGTTATAAATGACAGCAATTTGGCAATATTACATGCTGGAAAGTCCCACAAGTAAAATAACGACGTGTATCGAATGCAAGACTTCAGTTTCGAAGTGTGATGCTACTTAATTTACTTATTTTTAACTACTGCTTTTTAACAGATATATTTAAAGGATTTTATTATTGTGTATAACTAGATTCCTTCAGTCATTACAGTCAAACTAGATAATAAAAAAATATGTTATTAATTCTCCTCATGTCTTTGTTATCTAAACCTGAGCCAGGCAGTAAATATATAATATTCTGTCGTAGCATCAGCTGTTAAAATATTATATATAAGTTGCTATTTATAAAAATACATTGTTATCGTTTCTCTGTATAGGTCAATACACAAAGTCCAGGTAGAGGAATCAGTATTTGTATAATATCAGAACATCTCTAAAGAAAAACACATTGTCCTTAATGCCAGGTTCAGTTACCAACTCGGCAAATTCCAGATAACATTAATTCTGTCCATTAAAACTGAAACATGCAATAAATCACTGCAGTCACGCAGACTGTTTCCTGATTTGCTGTTTTTGCTCACTAGACAAGTCATGTAGTAAAACTCTGTGTACTGGCACAGATTGTTATGTTGAGGTCATTGCATGTGTGTACTGTATGTGCATGTGGTGATTTGGAAAGCTTCATGGGTTACATAAACCCTCCGCATTTTTGCTGACAAAGCACCAATGAAACTAATGTTCGCTTGCCTCAGCCCTCCCTCTTTCTCCCTTCCTCTCTCATTCTCTCTCTCTCTCACACACACAAACACACACACACACACACACTCTGGCAGAATGTCCTTATGCTTTAATAAGAGCAATCATGAAGCCAAGCTCATCTCTGCGTGCCACAACAGAGAGACTGAAAGAGAGAAGATGAGTGTTGGAGAGGCAGAGAGAGGAAGGGAGAGGCAGAGTGGGAGGAAGTGAAGCAGTCCTTAAAACTTCCAGTAAATGCCTGGTCTCCCATAATCCCCCTCCCCACCCCTCCCCGTCTTTTATAATAAGAAATCTTTATATTTTGAAAAGTATAAGCCTCTGAGTAAGCATGACACAGCAGTTAAACCTTCTCCTGGAAGGCACAGGCACTGCTGCTGTTGCACTGGAGTCGCTGCTCCGACATGTAAGCAAAAATATCTTCTCAGAGTTACTGTCCAGATGACATTTAGGTCTCTCATAACAAATGTTTGTGATTTCCTGTGTTAAATTTAGAAGAAGGACAAACCTGTGCTCTGCAGCCGCTGCTACAGATTCTTTATTCATCACGGGTATCTGTCGTGTTTAATGTGAAGTTATTTAAGGGCTAAAAATTAAGAGGAACAATAGCATCATCATAGAAAAATAAATGTGTGACTGATAGAGAGGAAGAAGGCAATGGACATACATAAGGAAGGATTAGAAGAATATCATGAAATAAGTATTTTAATGAAGCTAAAATTAACTACTATTTCAAATTAAACAATATATTAACATTAAAGTGTAAACAACAAACACAAAACCAGGGTTGTCATTGTATCTGAAGTCCACAAATTACACCCCCCCACCAAAACACACACTTTTTTACAATTAAAAAAAACAGTTGTGTCTCCATGACCTCCATTCATTTAGATTTACTCTAATCCTAACCCTAACCTTAAACCAAACGTTAACCCTGTACCTCAATGTAAACCTGAACTTTTGTTTTTCGTCCTCATGAGGAGACAAATCCCATAAGGTGCTTGTTTAAACAGTTTAAGTTCCCGACCAATCAGTATCCATAGATCACATACACACACACAGACACACACACAAACACAAACAGAGAGGGTTTTTTTAGCTGTCGATGAATGGTGGTTGTGTTTTTAGCCCTTTGAACATGAAAGGCTACTTGGCCTTTCTACCCACCTCTGGCTGAAACCTTTGATACCTCACTGACCATGGCGCGCGCACACACACACACACACACATTTCCACTTCAAACTTTCCTTTCCATTTCCCTCTCACCCCTGGTGCACTTGCAGGCGCCGTCTTTAAACAGATACAAAGACAAACACACAGATGGCACTTAACCTGTCTGAATAGATTAGCTGCTCATTTTACAACCTTGTTGGATTTCGGTAGATTTGCGTCTTCTATGTTTCTGTGCCAAAGTGTGTGTGTGTGTGTGTGTTTCCTGAGTGACTTGGCACTGGGAAGGAGCTTGTTGTTTTTTATCCCCATTATTGATTATTAGTCCAATTACCCATAGTTTATAGCCATTCTTGCTTTGCATCCTCCCCTCTGTGCCTCCTTCTTGTTCACGTGTTCATGTGTTTTTTATCTGACATGGAAATGCAATTTTTGATAGAATGTTAATAAGAACAACAACAGATATTCATGTAAAAATGTTGACATGAGAGAGCTTTTATGGTTGCAGGGACACATTTAATGTGAAATTGTTGATTCATGCCAGCAGAGGAAAGCAAAGATGTAAGAGGGGCTGAGAGTTTGGAGGAGAGCTGAAGCAGGTTGGTCAGTGATGTGGATAAAGATAATTAGCAACATTTCGCTGAAGTCAGCATGAAAGCAGACGGAGAGAGCTGAGGAAAAAGATTGTTTGTATAATGTGTTCGATTCCCTGGAGAAAGGGTCAGCCGGGAGATTGTGTAATAGCAATATTGCTTAATGTGTTTCCCACTAATCATTTGTGTTTCTCTGGATATGAGCAGGTTGTGTGTCTGTGTGTTTGCCTGTGTGTGTGTTTAGTTTAGGTATGTAAGATGTACTGTAGACGGCTTCTCTTTCCCTGACAAGGAAAGATTGCTTTCCATTGGTTATTCGAAATGACCTACTTTCCAGTGCGCATACGTGAAGAAAATGATTCTCGCTCAATATGTTTGATCTCCAACCAGAACCTGTTTGCTACACAGATGTGTGTGTGTTTTTTTGTCTGCTTTTGTGTGTGTGTCTGTGTACATGTGTTTGTTTGAGTTGTGACACATTTACATTAAAGAGAGAAGAGCGGGGGATAAAAACAATTAATCAGGCTCCTCCCTTGGCCCTGTTACCAAGGTGATACTGAGATTCTATCAATGAGCCAAGGTCCCTGTTGCTATGGAAACACTTATGAATGGGAAAGGACCCAGTCACCGTGGAGACGGTGTGAACTGCCTCATCGGCGTGACACTGTTTGTGGCAAAGGATGTTGTTGAGAAGAATTCTTCATCATTTTCTTCATCGGCATTATGCTTGTCATCATCATCATTATTATTACTATCCTCATTATTCTCATCATCATCATTATTAACACCCTACTCATCCTCATCATTTTCATTGTCATCATCATTATTAACACCCTCTTCATTACCATCCTCATCATTATAACCATCATGTAAATTGAGATCATTGATAAATAGTTCATAAATATTGAATGCATATACATTATTAAATATTAAAATCCACTAAATGTATTGTCCCATGTTAGAAATCGAGCGCAAAGTGGCACCAAACATGACACAAGTATCTTCTGGTTGGAGGACGACCACTCTACCCCTCAGCCACAATAGTGAAAAGCAATGGCGTGGTTGACCAAACAAACCTGGTGTGAAGTCAGCGGTGCAGCGTTTCACGAAGATTTCAAAGTCCCATTGAAACGGACGTCAGAGATCCTGGTTCTGCATTGAAGGAAAACACAAAGCTATTGGGAGAATTTGTGTTGATAAGACGGAGGAAGATGACAAATCCTCACATATTTGAAACCTTTTTACGAGAAGAAAAAAGTTGACAATTATGTTCTACTATATACTGAATACTTTATTTTAATACATGAATTAACAATAAACACAGAGCAGGTGTGTTTCCTCTTCAGTGAAGTGTTATTTCTCTTACGACCATTATAGCAATCCACCAGGGTGCAAGTGCACCTGGCTTTCAAAGGAAAAGAGTTTGGTTTATTGCATGTTACACACAAAACACAGCCATGATTAATTAAGTTCAACCAAGAAGATTTGGACACGCTCTGAATACACTCGGTGCATGCGGGCTTCAGACCACGCACTTAGATTGTTTCTATAATCTTGCCCTAAGTGTTTTTGTTTCAGTGGCCATGGCCTCATTTTTCACAAAGTTCATTCAGATCTATCAACACGTTTTTAAGCTTGACTGCTCACAGACATGCCTGCAACATAACCTACTGAAAAAGTGTCATGCAATGGTTCCAGGGTTTCAGTATTTTTCAGGCGCTGCCTTCTTATGTATCTTTGAGTCTGTCCTCCACTGCATGTTTGTCAGAGGAACAGCGGTGATGAGAATTTTGTTCAGTTAAAATTATGGCAAAGATTCATACACAGTTAAATGAGACAGTACTTGTCACTGCTCCCTGGTTGACAAACTGAGACACAATTTCAAACTTATCTTGGCTGCAAATTATTTTCTACAGAGTCGATTATGTTTGCACCCGGCATGTTGCTTTGTTTTTAAGTTTCTTTGTCAGTAAGATTACACAAAAACTACTGGGTGGATTTCCACGAAACTTTAGAATTAAAAAAAGAACCCATTCAGTTTTGCTGTGGATCCAGCATTTTTTTGTGTTACATTTTGACCAGTTTCCCAGGAAATAATTCACTGATGTTGATGACAAAATCAGGGACACTTAGAGAACTGATATCTTTGAGTGTGTGTGATTTGGTGGAGCTTGATAGTAATTCAAAATAGATATGTTGTACCTCTGAGAAAAAAGCAGATTACAGTATAGTCCAGTCCAAGTATAGTAACCAGGATCCTCTCAGTTACAAGTCAGCCTCTGATGAGGCATTTGATATCACACAATGTCATTACAAGGACCCCAGCTTACTCTGGTGATGGAGCACCTGCCACTGGGGAGCTTGCTGGTAATGCAATGCTGCATTGGAAACCACAGGCGAGTATACCTTTATCCATAGATCCTGGGCCGGTGTAACTTTTCACTTTGTGCCAATTTTGTGGGTTTCCAAGCAAAGCAGACTGACTTCAGACCTGTGATTAAGGCTCTGCTGTGTCACCGGGCCTCTTAGTGGAGCAGAGGAAAGTGGAAATGTGTCAGAGAGACAGAACAAAAGAGAGAGAGAGAAGTGGGAAAGCGGATGATTCACAGTGTGCGTCAGACGAGGGGACTGACTGGAAGTCTGGCAGCGCAGGAGAACATCTTAACCCTCTCAAGTGCACACATACACAGTCATGGTGTTTACAACCATCTATTCAGATAATGAGCAGCGATACAGGTGCTGCTGCGGCACACACCACGTTCACTCTGGAGTCAGATGACGGCCTGAAGAGAAATTATTTAAATGTACCGAGATTAAAAATAAGCAGGAAGAAGCAAGTCAGCATCTCTGATTCTCCCCATCTGCCAGCGCTCCCTCTCTCTGGCGCTTTGTCTCTCCACACACTTAAACTTCCTTTCTGTCTTCTCTGTCCCTCTTCTCTCCATCACTCTCCACCTTTTTTTTCTCCTTTTTGGTTTTATAGTCTCTCTCTCATCCTGATACCAGTCCTTCACTTGTCAGCTCTATTGATTAGCTCATGCAGGATTTACATAGAGTTCACCACCCTTCTAATAACCTGGCATGGTTCGGTGTTAATGTGCTTGTTTGTAGAAGTAAGAAAGACGGGGTGAAACAGGGAGAGGCTGACTGACCGTGACAAGCTTGACCAGCTTAAATATTGATTGCCTGTGCACGCGTCTGTGCATTTGTCTCCTTCTCTTTAGGATCCTGTCCACTGTGGGTTCAGACTTCGACCTGCGGACCCTCAGGGCTGTGCGCGTACTGAGGCCCCTCAAACTGGTGTCCGGTATTCCCAGTAAGTCAGAAGTCTTCGTCCGACGTGTGACACCTCAAAATGAATATACATAACAGCCTCTTTGTCATTCCTTGTTAGTAATATTTCAGTTTCAAGTTTTATTGGTTGATCAAAATAGCTCGAAGACGCATTTTGTGTCAAGGTTTTCTGCAGCTTCTGTGTTTCTCTGCATAATGCACCCGAAGTGTTCCAACCAAAGTGGTTCTCCTCTGCACTCGGCTCCTTTTTTAAATGTTATAGTGGCAGTTGTGTTCCGGCACCACTGCAGTGTTATTAATAGCTTTGACTCCACTACAGGGCTGAACAGGCAAACCAAGGCTTACTCATCACTAAAGTCACCAATAAGCTTCCTGTAGAAACCAAATTAAATGGTAAATGGTTGTATTTATATAGCACTTTTCTAGTCTTGAAGACCACTCAAAGCGCTTTACACTACAGTCAAAAGGACACTTTGGCATGCAGATGGGAAGACTGGGGATTGAACTTCTGACCGGAGGACGACCGCTCTACCCCCTCAGCCACAGCCACCCCAAATTAGAGTTCCATTACAATGTGTGACGTGGCATGTATTTGAAAGTCACTGAATATTATTTTATATGTTGAAAACATATGGTTATCGTTTATTTCACCTCAACTAAATGCGTATTATTTTATGGATTATATTACATAATCATAGGTTCAATCCCTCCATCCATGAACCTGGTGGGTGATCATAAAGTGATGGTTGATAAGAGTAGTTTTCTAGTTTGACAATTAAAAGATCCCTGGACCTAATCCTCATGGTGCAAAATAACACTGAATGTGATGATGTACATCAGGTTATTCCTGAAATAATGTGCACACTGTTTCCTCCAGGCTTACAGGTGGTGCTCAAATCCATCATGAAGGCCATGATTCCTCTGCTGCAAATCGGCCTGTTACTTTTCTTCGCTATCCTCATGTTCGCCATCATTGGCCTGGAGTTCTACATGGGCAAATTCCACACAACCTGCTTTGACAATCACACAGGTAAAGGATTTTGTGTGTTACTGTTTGGAATGTGTGTAAGTGTTTGTTCGAGTGCACTTCAAATAGTCACAGTGCTAAATTTAGAAATGCAATTTAGCTCGATAAAATAAGATCCTCTGAGATAAATTGCTTGTGGTTCTTCCACTCCATTTTTTTTTTTTTCTCCATATGGCGATTGAGGAGGAGTTAGTTGGCTTATTTAGGAGCTTTTAGGAGGACTCTCAAATGTCCATACAAGTCAAGTAGGTTTGTCCAGTTTGCTGTGTCACAGAAAACTAACCACATATTAATATCATGTGCCCGCCTTCTGTTTTGAAACACCTCCCCACCTCCACCCATGTCCAGGTGAGATCCGAGAAGAGTTTCCATGCGGGACGGAGCTTCCGTCGCGGCTGTGTCCAGAGGGCACCATGTGTAGACAATACTGGCTGGGACCGAACTATGGCATCACCCAGTTTGACAACATCCTGTTTGCTATCCTCACCGTCTTCCAGTGTATCACCATGGAGGGCTGGACCGAGCTGCTCTACTACGTATGTACTGCTGAAAACATTTACTCACTCTGTGACCACTAGTGTCAATAAAGAGATAGGGCTGAGTTGGCTGAGTCCAAACCAGAACCCAGAACCGAACCACACCATTCTGTCAGTTGAAATGATCCTTCTTCGACTGTTTTGCCCTTTTGAACTATAATAACGATTGGTTGTTCATTGCCACAGCTGCTAATGTTGGCATTGCTAATTTGCTATCATTCCGTGCTCTGCGAGACAAGTGTGATCGCTGCTCTCTAACCCTTCACCTCCTGAGTAGGGCACTCGTACATGTTTACCATTTGCCTCAGCTCCGCTCTGCCTCTAACGTCTCTGAACCAGCTGCGTCTATTCTCCAGAGACATTCAAGGAATATATGTATTTTTGCAATGGAGCCATTTTTTCTTTCTTCTTATGTTTATAAAATTTTGTAAGTTGCAAGATGGCAGCGTTATAGCCGGGATATTTTAGCTTCATCTTTATAGACAGTGTATGCATGTTACTCATTATATTAAACGGGAGACCCTCAGCAATTAAACAGGACCTGATCCGTTTGGAAACATGATCCCAACATGTGACATAATCAGTTAATCAGTTAGTCATTATGTTGCAGTGGGAATTGTACAGAACAGAATTATTTTATCATGTGGACCCTGTTTTTTGAGATAATGCTTATGTTGGATGGGTATTTAAATTGTTGTCAAATTTGGACGCCATTTTGTTTGGATTAAACTGCCTCAGAATATCTGGAAAAATAATTAATATTGAGTCAAATGCAATTTAGACCTCGTGTTTCTCTAACATGGTTTCAACAGTCACATTCATATTTTCAATCTTTAGCCTGAACCTGCACAAACAAAGCAGCCGTCTCATAAACTAAAACGTAATTTTAAGTAAGTGTTAAGACGTCTGGTGATTTTCACTGGGCAAACAGTGCATTTACCCATTAAATCGGCAGCAGGTCTTGAACGGTGTCATCGCTCATGCCCAACACGGAATAGTTCCCTGTTGTCATTGGCAACGGTTGCCATGGAGACCAGAGGTAGATGAGGGTCTTTGAGTGTTACTGTAGTCATCTCTTTTCCTTTCTCCTCTTCCCCTCAGTTAATCACATTCTCCCCATTGCTCTTTTTTCTTTCTTTATTCCATCTTTTTTTTTTCTTTCCTTCTTATCGTCCCTCCTCTTGCCGTCTTCATTCCTCTCTTCCTTCCTTCCCCCCCTGTCCCTCTCAATCGCTGTCCCTCCTTCCCGCTGCTGCTCTATATTTAAAGGGCCTGTTCAGTCCAAGTTATTCTTGCAGCTGCTGGGGAGGGGAGTGATAAAAGTTTAATGGTATAAAAAAGGGTCTGCGGTACGTTGGGTACACAGCCGCAATACCAGGGAAGAAGGAAAGATGGAGGAAGATGGTGGGGAGAGAGAGAGAGGGAGGGAGGGAGGCTATATGAGAAAGAGAGCAGAATGTGGAGTTGAGTTTGGGTGAAATTAAGAATCAATGTAGAGTCTGATCTGGGACTTTGAGGAATAATGGAGGGATTGAACAGAGACAGGAAGAGAGTAGAGGAAGAAATAAAATGAACGAGCATTAAAATGAAAGTAATACGTTTGGTAAAAGCAGGAGGAAGCGTTTCGGAGGGCGATGAAAAAAGACAGCGAAAAACAATGAGGAGTGAACAAAGGAAATGGAAGGAGGGAGAGTCTAGAGAAGAGGAGGATGGTAGAGACGGAGAGGAAGAGAGCAAAGCATCATACATTATTTACTCTGCTCAGAGCAGCTAAATAGAGTGGCAGATATGCATTTACTTATTGAGATGACTTAAAGCAAAGTCATGTCAGCCCTGCTGTTGTTTATATTTCCAACAGCAGTGGACAGCACTTCTGAGTTCACGGGCCTCCATCTTTTTAATAGGCACACTCTCTGGGTATTAAATGAGTTTCAGGCAAATGTGGAAAACTTGATCACTCTAAATGAGAATGAGAATTTGAGACTGCTGATCGTGTAGAGTACTTCCATGCAAATACTGTAAATGCATCTTAATTTAACAAACAGGCCCAAAAAATGACACCGGTGTTTTGTACAGGGGTGTGAAGACAGATTGAAACATGCAGTTAGTTATTCTACATGTCCAGCCTGCAGACTACTCTACACTGGTCTGGGGGGTATCATGTCTCAGTCGATCAAATCTTTGGTTGTCAGGAGTTGTGGTGAATTTCCCATTTCTCACTTTAATAATCTGTTAACCAGGTAATGTTTCCGTTGGCTTAGGTGCTGTTATATCGAGTTCAGGGGGAAGAGCAAAACATTGATTACCAGTGTGTGTGTGTTTGTTTCCAGAGCAACGATGCCTCAGGGAGTGCATGGAACTGGATGTACTTCATCCCCCTCATCATCATTGGCTCCTTCTTCATGCTCAACCTGGTGCTGGGTGTGTTGTCAGGGTAAGTGTCACAGTAAAGGTTGTTTATTTGTAATGTTTCACCTAATTTATGAAATATTAAACAAATGTGGAGTTTATTGTATGCGTGCCACACTCAAACGACAAAATGTCGACATTAAAAGTAACCACTAAGGTCGGGGTTGTGTGTGTGTCTGCAGGGAGTTTGCCAAAGAGAGAGAGCGTGTGGAGAACAGGAGTGAGTTCCTCAAGCTCAGAAGACAGCAGCAGATTGAGAGAGAACTCAATGGTTACCTGGAGTGGATCTGCAAAGCTGGTATGCACAAACATACACACACATAAAGAAGCTATTCATTCAAATATTTTGTCCCCAATTCTCAATCCATCAGGAATGTTTTAGACATAAATATGTTGTTAATGCTTCAGCTGCAGGAATTTGTGGCCTATAGCAACTGGAATATTATTATTTAAAGTGATATTTCTGAATTTTTTCAGTTGATCAGTCAACACAAAATGATCTGTCATGTGTTAAATAGCATTTTAGGGGGCTTTCACACCTACCTTGTTTGGTTTATGCCATTTTCAGTTTAGTCTGAACCAAATTACCGGTGTGAAAGGTGCTTCAGACCACAGTTTGGACCAATGGACCAAAAGTATTCCGACTAAATAAGGTGGCTTCTGTCCAGATCAAGTTCGGTTTGTTTGCAATTAGAAAGCTCTGTCTTTCGGACCAATTGCAGGAAGTTGAGACGGCATTAAACAGTGGAAGCCTTGCTGGTCCAGAATCCGAGCTCAGGCTCACAGGATAATTTATCTTCACCTCTCACAATATAGTGTTTGAATGATGAGATTGTTCGTTTGAACTCATGTAGAGTACTGCGCCAAGAGTTTGTGATGCTGGTACGTGGCAACAAAATGAAAGTATAGGTGATGACAACAGGACTATCTGTGTCATACAACAGTCTTTACTCCACTATCTGAAGTGCAAGTTAACAAAGACATGAACCTTTGGAGTTTCAGATCTGAGAAAACGCCAAATTTACAAGAATAAATGTAGCTTTTGAAGTGGTGATGTCGAGCAGTTTTCAAGCAAGCTGACCCCTTTACAATCACAACCAAACAGTTGAATATAAGTGAACAGCCTTGATTAACATGGCTCTGGCACAGGATTAAAGACACTTGTTTGATGCTTGAGACCCAGCCTAGTTCCCTTTCTCTCCTGTCTCTCCACTGTGGCCTGTGTGGGGAGGGCAGTAAAGATGTGGGGAGGATAAGAGGAATGGAGAGGTGGAGGCTGGAAGGAGCAGATAAAGGGGCAGATAGAATAAGGGCAGACCTTTGATCATCTTGAAAAGACGATCTACATAAAAACAAGGAAGCTGAAAACAGAGAAGGGACCGATGTGTTTCAAGGACAGGTGCAGGCCAAAGACTTTTAACTTTAATTAAATGAGAAATGACGAAATAAGATAGATTTATAATGTGGAAGCCGTTAAATATACATTCAGCTTTAGACTTGACACTGTATTGACATTATTATTTGTGTGTGGTTTGCAGAAGAGGTCATCTTGGCAGATGATGAGAATGAAAATGATTACGATGGTAAGAATTTGTTTGCGTGAAAGTGATTTTTTTTTTTTAATGCATGTACGTTTTTGCACATCCAGTAGTCACACGTTTTTGGGTTTTTTTTTAAACAGGGTCTCGTAGGAGAGCCACAAAGAACCATAAGAGCAAAGCTGAGCTGCTGAACCCAGAGGAAGGAGAGGGAGATCTGGCCGTAGGTAAGAGAGCCTCACACACACACACACACACACAAACGCAAACCACAGGTACATACAGATGCTATCTTATCTTGCATATCAGCATTACCTGACCCCGCTCTCCTCCCCCCTCCTTCCCTCTCCTGTCCTCCGCTGCTCTGTGCCTCTCTTCTCGTCTTACATTGTCTTTCCTTTCTCTTGTCTTTAACCCCTCTCATCCTTCACCTTTTTTCCCAGAATGCAAAAAACCCTTCACTCCAAACCTTAACTTATCTTTTAATTAGTCAATGGTTGGTTTAATAGTTCATTAATTTTTACCCGACAGAGGAAATTGTAGATTCTACACATGTGCTTATTCCCCCTCCTCCTTGCACCCATCTATCTATCAGTCTATACCGACTGCCTCCTCCCTCCTTCTCTCCACCAACCCCTCTTCTTCCAGTCTTTTCATCCAAAGTTTCTATGCAGTTATATACTGTATATTAGGAACTGCTCAAGTAGAACATTTTCATGAATTGGATTGTATTACATCTTGTATCTCTTCCTGTGTTTATGGGACCAATGAGGGAAGCAGATCATCTTGTGCACCATTTTGTCTTTCCTAGATACTAAACGTGTCAATAACCCACATCTGACTTCTCTGTTCAGATAATTATATAACATTTATCTTGCGTTCCCTTCCAGGTTCACCATTTGCTCGTGCCAGCTTGAAGAGCTCCAAGCTGGAAGGATCAACCTTCAAGAGACGCGAGCGCCGGCTGCGCTTCTTTATCAGACACGTTGTTAAGTCCCAGGCCTTCTACTGGACTGTGCTGTGTTTGGTTGGCCTCAACACGCTATGTGTGGCTGTAGTTCACTATGACCAGCCAGAACCACTTTCGGATTTTCTGAGTGAGTAGGAGGGCATGGGTATACATGCATACTTAGGTGCAAGCATAGCACAGATTATCTCTGCAATATGCAGAAATACTCTCATCGCAGATTACTGGAAGAGAGTGGGTGAGCAAATTCTTAAAGTACATGTGACTAAATCCATAACAGAGCACATCCAAACAAGCTCTGTCCTCCTCTTGTACACAGTTTAGTGTTTGTCTCTATCATTTACATGTATATGGTACATACACAGACACAAATAGTATTGAAATGAGAAATAAGTTCAATATAAAAAGATAAATGTCAATTAACAGGGGAGGGACAAGATTTTGAGGCCTGAAGCCTTCTGCTTTCTGTTGTTAGTTTATATTTTATTTATGTTTATATGTTACGTTATATGTAAGCAGTCCTTGTGGAGAGCAAAAGAGGCGAAACACATTGAAATGCATTAGCTTTTTATATTTATCTGCCTTCATTAGCAGATAGCTGTTATTATCCAAAATGTCGTCTGGACCTAAAACACCAACAAAAAGTATGGCTAATTGTATACTTAAAACGCTACCCTTCCTTGAACGGAAGCATGGAAGGTTGAAACCTGCAGGGATTAATGGTCTCCTCTCTCGTTGGAGCCTCCTCTCCTCCTCCTCACTTCTCGTCTTCCTCCTTCCGTGTAGATTTTGCTGAATTCATCTTCCTGGGGATATTCTTGACAGAGATGTGTATAAAGCTGTATGGCCTGGGCAGACAGGCCTACCTCAACTCCTCCTTCAACTGCTTCGACTGCATTGTGAGTCCCGCTGCACACACTCATAGACCGTACACATACACACACAAACATGCCACATAAAAATGTGTTGAGTTGCTGATGCGTGCTCATTAATTGCTCGTATTTGTGTCAGGTGATCTGTGGTAGTATATTTGAAGTGCTGTGGTCCATCATCCAGCCGGGCACGTCGTTTGGCATCAGTGTGCTGCGAGCTCTCAGGTTATTGAGGATCTTCAAAGTCACCAAGTGAGTCAGTTACGATACAGTAATGTTATTTCTTATAGTTACACAGAGACATAATATTAAAGATGTCGTATCAATCCAAAATAAATCCAAATGTTTTCTGTCTGTCCGTCAGGTACTGGGCATCTTTACGTAACCTCGTCGTTTCTCTGCTCAACTCCATGAAGTCCATCATCAGCTTGCTCTTCCTGCTCTTCCTCTTCATCGTCGTCTTTGCCCTGCTGGGCATGCAGCTCTTCGGAGGACAGTCAGTGCTGTTTGCCTTCACCTATGCTAGCCCCCCCCCTTTTTATAGTCTACATTTAATTTTCTGCTCAGAGATTCATTTCTGTTAATTGCCAAAGTCATTTCAGAGCAGTTTTTCAGAGCAGATATTTGTTGTGCTTGCAAGATGCTTTTTCATTTCATTTCCTGTCCCTCTCTCAGCATTCCTCCTCACACTTCTTCTTTCCAACTCTCACTCTCTCTATTCTTTTTTTCCCCCTGCTAGGTTTAATTTTGAAAATGGCACTCCTTCAACCAACTTCGATACCTTCCCTGCAGCAATAATGACGGTGTTCCAGGTGAGCAGAAGACAATGAACTGCAGAGGGGAGGGAGGGAGGGACTGGTGGAGGGAGGGCAGCAGAATGGCAGGAGAAGACGAGGACTGGATTAGGCGATTAAAGGACGAAAGAGGATTTGCAGAAGAGGGGACAATATAAAATGTAGAATTCAAGTTTTCAAATCTTAAATGTCATTAGTCAAAAAGAATTTGTAGTTTTGACTTTTGCATCTTAAATGAATAGATAATGTGTCTGGGTGTACAGTATGTATTCTATCAAAGCATCAATCAATTGTCACATCACTAGATGTCCTTGGTGTGGGTGTGGCCTCGTCTTACTATTTGTGTGTGTGTGTCTCAGATACTGACTGGTGAGGACTGGAACATGGTGATGTACGATGGCATCAAGTCTCAGGGCGGAGTCAACAAGGGCATGGCCTTCTCTGTCTTCTTCATCGTACTCACACTTTTTGGCAACTGTATCCTTCGACAGTGGAACTCACATATTACTACAATACTCCAATGTTTGTCAGCCAGTCGGTTACTTCATGTTCAAATAAACATCCGCATGCTGGATTTCCTTTAACTCTGTGTTCAGACACTCTACTCAATGTGTTCTTGGCCATCGCTGTGGACAATTTGGCAAATGCACAGGAGCTGACCAAGGTTCACTTCAGTCGCCACTTTTACCAACATATCTGCACTGTTTATTTTCTGAGTTCTAAAAGCTGCAGGAGTTATGCTCCTCTACTCCCTCTGTTTCTTTTATTGGCAATATTTCCCGTCCAATTCATCTCTTGCTCCTCATGTCTGTCTGTGCAGGATGAGCAGGAGGAAGAGGAGGCTGCCAGTCAGAAGATCGCCCTGCAGAAAGCCAAGGAGGTGGCTGAAGTCAGCCCGCTGTCTGCCGCCAACCTCTCCATCGCAGCGTGAGTTTCTGAGTCTTCCTCCTGCGCTCTTGATTGAGGAGTATGAGAAAGCAAAGTTTACTGCATTTACAAAATGAATTGTTCCGTGTAAGTTTGGACCTTTTCTTCATCAGGTATCGGTCTGATGCAATTATGCATCACAGAGAGGCTTAGAGAACGATTCATCTTCTTCATCTTTACAATAATAAGTCAATCCCTTCCAAATGTTTCTTTGACTCAGAATAAATGTTTTAACATTCATAGGACGACATGCACATTTTAATCTACTGACAGTACATTTAGAACTAAACTTAAACATGGATATAGATATTTTTTCTCCTCTCCTCTGTCACCTTCTCTTTCTCATATGCTTTTGTGCATACTAAAACACACACACACACACACACACACACACATACACAAAGCCAGCATTGGATTGATCTGTGCCTGCCCTCCTCTGGTCAGGAGAGTCGGAGTCTTTGATCCCTTTTTCTCTGTGTACACAGGGGTCTTTCCTTTTCACTCCTGGTAAAGTTCACACACTCTCACTCATAGACACACACACACACACACACAATCCACATAGCTCCGCCTGTATAAAAAAAAGCACAAGAGGTGAGCCCAAGCCACACACACGTACACGCAGTCCTGACCTTTACTGCTTTGATATATGTGCCTTTGGGCCATTTTATATCACACACATTATATCATACAGTTCATTCACAGATGCAAGGAACAAACGTGCTAAAGAGTAAAATTCTCCCTGCAGATCCTCATGATTTGTGTTCATCATCTTGTGAATCACACTCGTTGTTACTTTGTGTGCTGTATGTTGTGCACTTTACCGTGCTGTGTACATTTGTGTCTGTGTATCAGTAAGCCTTATTTTAGTTGGGAGTTCTATAAAGGTTAAATATTTATTTTTCAATACAATGCGTGTGTGTGTGTGTGTGTGTGTGTGTGTGTGTGTGAGAGAGAGAGAGAGAGAGAAAGAGAAAGAAAGAGTAAAAAAGAGAAGGCTGTTTGTTAGTTTAATTAGAAATCTTCATTTGCATCCTGCAGCAAACTTGCATACCTCCACCAAGACCCACAGTCCCCATATGAAACCACATTTTTATTTTGATCTGCACTAAATTGTACACACTCAGAGATATTGATCCCCTAGACATGCCTGGTTATTTTAATATCAAAATCCATGTATGAGAAAACAATGTAGCATCGTTAAAGAAAATGGAAAAAAAAACTAGGATCTATGATCTGCTCCCCCGCTCCACATCCACACCAAAATTAAATGGGTTCTTCCTTGGGTTGTGCCCCACCCTTACACAAAATCTTTCGTTGAGTAGTTTTTCCGTAAACCTGCCAAATAACTAATAAACGCAGATGAAAACATTTATATTGCATATTTACATTGCTTGTGTATTTCATACTTTAAAAACCAAATACCTAAGTATATTTTAGTTCCACGTTTCTTTTCTATATTTTTAATTAAACTATATATCACAGTTCTGCTGATGAAGGGCTACAAGGTGCATCACATTCCAATATATTAGTTTTAATCTAAACCCCTCATTTCTGTACTTTTAAAAAGAAAATATTGAAATTCCAACATGATCTTTTTATCTTCCGAGCACCAAGCAGGGATTTTAAACTTTGAGACCAGTGGTGCATGAAGAATCTCTTAAGAAGATATTCTATGGTAAATTCAGGCCAGTCGTCTGCCATGAAAGTTACAGAACACCCATGGGAAACACTTGTAAGGCTACATAGCAGCTACATAGTAAATCAGTTTTTAGAAATGTTACTGTGGTCTTACAAAGTATTTCAGTAGTTAATGGATTACAACTTCTGTGATATTTGTTTACTAAACTATATCTTTGTATGATTTGTCCTCATCACCACAGGCTTATTATTACATTCAATGCAATGAGCACAAAAAGTAGTTTGTAGTCGTAGTAGTTTATTTGTTGCAGTGCTTAGTGGTGTCGACTTTTAACCTCTGCTGTATTTTCAGTTAAATATCACAAAATACACAGTAAAAATACCATAAAACATCCTTCCAGTTAGTTACCGCAATTTGCATGGCATTGTGGGTAAAGTATCTTTTTTGGAAATTACAGTAACATACTAGTTGAGACATTTGCTGTAGTAAAGATGGATATTAGAATTAAAACAGGAGGAATTTGAATAAAAAGCATGGAATAGTAAGAGATTCAAATGTTTTAAATTAAAGACACTGCAAGGACAAACAGGAACATGAGATAAAACTCAGATCGAGGGGAGATCTTGTAAAAGATGCAAAGACCGAAGAGAACGGGGCAAGTTAAGTGTGTGATGCAAGGAAGATGAAATTTGTGATATTGCAAAAAAGGAGGATAATGAAAAATGAATTGATCAAGAGATGGAACAAATTGTAGAGGTTGAGTGTGCGTGAACTTCTGGTATCTGTGTGTGTCTTTGTGTGTGTGTGTGAAGGGTTGCATTCCAAAATGCCAAATCTTTTTGGCAAAAATGTCGCCAGATCTGTTCACTTTTTGCATTTTAGGAATGTATTTTGCAAATTTTAAGTTTTTACAGCGCAGTTGATTTGAACAGTGACCGTCTTTCAGTGCAGACAGGCTGTTTTTTTTATTAAGTGGTGGATGGACAGCCCATTTTGGAATGAAATCCTCCTTCTGTTTTTTCGTGCCATCTCACTCACCAGCTGTTTCCCTCCTCAGCAACAAAGTACACAGTGAGTGTCACAACGCTACCGACCCCTTTCTGGACTGGTATTTATTTATTTGTTTATTCATTTCTGAATACCTTCTGTTTATTGACTTTACCACCATCCCTCGCTTTCTTTTTGTGTTTTAGAACGCCCCCCTCTCCTTGTCCCCTTGTTCTTTACTCTGTTTATGAATCACATACTTGGCTTTCTTTAGCTGTCCTTTGTGTTGGCTTATTTTTTACGAGTACATTTTCTGTTGCCTGCACCTCGCAGTATGGCTGTTGCTTTACTGTGGTTGACTGTTGGCCGCGAGAGAAGTGGGAGTTAGAGTTGATTTACCGGTAGAAGTTTTGGAGGGTAAGACAAGAGGTGGTCACTGGCTGTTTTGGGGTGTTTCTGCATCACGTAGATTAAATAACTGCTCCGTCAATCCAGCCAATAACACATTCTTGTAATCATCGTGACGAGCTCAATGGGGGGTTTTGGGTGCCATTTTTGTTCGGGTAGGTTAATTATAGGTCGTCATAACAAATTCTTACCTTGCCTCTGTTATCCACCATTTTGTGTCCCTACATGGTTTATCAAAGCGAAGCTGTCCCGCCTCGTGCTTTGGCAAGCTGTGTGGACACCCAAAACCTCGATCTGTCAAGCTGCCTTGTTATATAGGTCCAGCCAAATGACCCTTTAAATGTCTGTGGCCCCTAGTGTGTCTTTATGTCCTGGCTATTTTACGTACTTATATTTTGGTGTTGGTTTTCACATCCCTCTCATGTCTGTATGTATATTTGCGCAGCAGTGTGTGTCTCAGAACGGCTCTTTTAACGCTGCCAACCCCCCTCCTCCCTGTCCACCCTGTTCCGTTTTTGCAGTAAGGAGCAACAGAAGAACAACAATAAGGGAATTAATAAGTCGGTGTGGGAACAGCGTACCAAGGAGCTGAGGAAGCAGACTCTGGCGTCCAGCCGAGAGGCCCTCTACAACGAGCTGGACCCCGACGACCGCTGGAAGGCAAGGGCAGGGAGGGAGGAGCAAAACAATGTAAAGGACAAGGCAAACAAAGGCCCTAGACTTGTGGTATCAGTGTACACAAGTGACGGCAAATATACTAATGATGTGATGGTGATGAATTACATGTTTATCTGGTGTTTATTATGTGTAGTTTATTTATTAATGGTAAATTTCCCATCAGTTATCAGTGTAATTACTGGACAATGCCAAATGTGCGCTGGTGTATAAGGGCCATGTTGAAGAAAATAAATTCTGAGATATCAAGAATAAAGTACTAAGAGAATAAAGTCATAATTAAGGTGAAACTTAGACATAGACACTTCTATTCTAATGATAGGCAACATTATAAGTTTCATACACAATCTTTTCAATGATTTGTATGATGATGTGGTGCTGATGAGCCAAAAGCTCAAGTATTATATTAAGAAAATAATCCATAACGCTTAATTTAACACAGCAACATGACATGTAGCCTAAAATTATGATTTTATTTTTTACTCGTTATATTATGAAATACTTTTATATTATGACTTACTTGTTTGTTTGTTTTTTTAACATGGTCCTAATACTCTTTAGTGCAAATGTGAATATAATCTATAGACTAGGTCTATCTAATATAATGTTTTTTCACTTTTGTCCACCTAGAAAGAATAAAAACTTCTCTTCTGTCTTCTGTATCTTCAATCTTTCCCCCGTGGCTGCCTCTCCATCCTTTGCTCTCGTTGCAGGTGAACTATTCTCGACACATCCGTCCAGACATGAAGACCCACCTGGATCGACCCTTGGTTGTCGACCCCCTTGAGAACCGGAACAACAACACCAACAAGACCACTGCCAACAATTCAGACCTCTGCTTCAGCCAGCACCATCCCGCCGACGAGCTCCACAGACAAACACGCCTCCACGAACATGCTGGGGAAGTAGGTGGGGGTGGTGGTGGAGGTTCGGGTCCAGTCAGACCTCCCTTACAGCGGGGTGAGTCCACAGAAAGCAGGCGGAGCCGTAAAGGTGAGCACCACCACCACTCCTCGCACGTCCGACTGGATGCCACGGTGATACCTGGGCCAGGCTCGGAGGAGAGGCCTTCGAGACGCCACCACCACACCCGCAGCGGGAGTCGAGGGGGAGGGCAGTCAGAACACAGGAAGCCCAGGTCGCATCGAAAGATTGCCGCGGAAGGCGAGGACGGCGGGGGAAGTGGTGGAAAAACGGGGAGGCACAAGAGCAAAGGGGTGGAAGGAGGTGGAGAAGGAGGAGAGCAGGAGGGAGCTGGCGAAGGCAGTGAGAGGAGGCCAAGAAGAAGTCGCCATGGCAACCAAACAGAGGGCGAGGGGAAGAGGATGTGTCAGCATAGAAGGAAGTACGTCCATTGCACATGGAAATAAGATTTAATAAATAAAATATTGTTGGATTTTCACCAAACTGATGTTTGGATAATCTCATCTGTTGTATGCTCCTGTCACTTCTCTCCATTTCACACCATTTTCTCACCATTCTCCACTCTCCTCTCTTTCTTATCTTTTTCCTCTCACTCCCTCTTTTCCAGGGATTGCAGTGTCCCCAACCTCTCTACCACACGGCCCATCCAAAAGAGCCTCTCCAGACAGGACAGCCAGTACAGCGAGGATATGGACAACCTCATGAATACCAAGCTGGTCTCTGGCTCCACCCCGCCCAGCGAGGGTCACCCCATTCCAGTTGCCAGCCGCACTGTGGCCCCCGGCTATGGATCTGCCCTCCATCTTGCTAACAGTGGCACTCACGGGAGTTTGGTCACGTTAGATAGCTACGGGAACATCGGACATAGCCGTGCCAACAGTGTCATCAGGCTGCCCCACCCTGACTACACAGCAATAGACATGCCAATTTTTCCATCCACCAATGCCATACTGCAGGGTAACAGCAACATGACTCAGTGTTTTGTTAACTCTCTTTTTTAACTCTCTTTTCAGCTGAAATAACAAACACTCATTCTTCTTTACCCCATTTGTTCTCCCTCCTACTCTGATCCAGTCAACAAGAACGCCAACACGGAGCCTCTGCCAGCGAAGGAGGACAAGGACGACGACGACGATGAGAAGGGAGGTGAAGGAGGACCCAGGCCCATGCCTCCCTTCAGCTCCATGTTCATCCTGTCCACCACCAACCCGTAAGTAAAACGACTGCATAGGTTGATACACAGGAATACAAACCTGAGGTGTTCACCCAGTATTCATTTCTAGAAAATACTTCATACTTCTTCAACAATCCAGATCTAATGGCGTCCTTAACACAAACAGAGGAGGGGAAAAAATGTCTGTCTGCTCTTAGGTTTCGACGTGCGTGTCACTACGTCTGCACCCTGCGATACTTTGAGATGTGCATCCTGCTGGTTATCGCCATGAGCAGCATCGCTCTGGCTGCTGAAGACCCCGTCTGGCCTGAATCTCCTCGCAACAATGTAAGACATTCGCTGGTTAGGTTTTTTATTGTGGTGTCATATGCAGCCCTCCAGCCAGACCAGTGAATAAAAACTAAATAAAGAAACAATTAAAGTATGCCTTTGTTTACATTAGTTTTTGTTTCACATATTAATTTAGAAAGTGGACTAAAGACTTTTGTATGACATACGTACATTCTGTCATCATCACCTGTATGGGTTTTCTTCTTCTAGCCAATTGGTCCGAAAGTCAAAACCTACCATGTTTCAGTTTCTGAAGTCTGAAGGTGTTTCAAATGAAGCCTGAGTGAGAAAAACTTCAAGTTTAACCATCTCTCTCTCTTCATACAGGTTCTACGCTATTTTGATTATGTCTTCACTGGAGTGTTCACATTTGAAATGCTGATAAAGGTAATGATATTAAGAAAAAATGATTTACTCCAGAGAACTTCAGGTCAAATCAGACATTTTCATTCCACATTGTGGCCAAACTGCATCATAGTCACGCTCTCATCTTCTCTCGTAGATGGTGGATTTGGGGTTGGTCTTGCACCAGGGCTCTTATTTCCGGGACTTGTGGAACATCCTTGACTTTATAGTGGTTAGTGGTGCTCTGGTGGCCTTCGCCTTCACGTAAGTCTCCCTCCTGCCTTCCCCCCCTTGCTCCTCCCTCTCACATCCCTGTTTACTGCCTCACTGGCACCTTGGAGTACAGCCTCCTCACGTTCTTCTCGAATCACCCATGGCTCATGTTTGGACTCTCTCTCTCTTCATCCTCTGCTCTTTCAGCCTCTCTCGCTCTCTAAGGATTACTCCATTCCCTTCTCTCTTGTCTGCTCCTCCATTAAACTTTATCCTATCTCTGCTGAAAAATGGCCAACCCCCTGTAGCTGGCCATTTCCTCTGCCTTTTCTCTCTCATTCAACTTTGGTACCACAGTCCCGCCATTCCAAAGCCCCACCACGACCCCCTATGTCCCTTCATGGCATAAAATAGTATCCCAGCATTCCCTCCCTGGCCGCCTCCTCTTCCTACTGTGAGAGGTGAGGACCACCCTTTGCACCTGTAACCCTTTAGTGCCCAGGGCGTTCTAGAATTAAAGGCCCCATGCAAAGCCTGGCCAGGTCATGCTGAGTTCGCTCCCAAAACTCTCCACAACCATCAGCTCGACAAAGCAGGTACTTTGAATCTTACCTAATCTGCATGACTGCAGGTTTTAATAGTTAAGCTAGAGCTTATAGGTGATGTGTACTATGCTGGGTATGAAGCATGAATTTTGAGTTTTAAGATTTGCTATTCTGCTTTTGCATGAGGAATATAAAGTGAAGCAGAGTTGCAGGATCTAATTTAATATTGTTATAGTCACAAGATGCACATACTAAGTACAGTGTATAATGGTGATGCTGTAACCTTCTATTACATTCTCACACAGGTCACCTGCAGAAACATGAGGTTGTGATCCTATTATATGACTTTAGAATAACTTCATTAATATGGCACCTCTCAAGACAGCTTCGCAATGAAGGACAAATAAAAGACGACAAGAAAATGAATTGAAAGTAATGAAATCAATGTTTTCTGATAAAACAAAAATCACCTAAATGGTAAATTAGAGAGGATCAAATGTTTTAAAGAGAATCTGAACCAGTGAGCAAAATCAGAGGCTTCAGTGTTTAGTGCATGAAAAGCATTGTCTGATACTGTGTGGTTGACCCGTGACCAGAGTCAGACTAGACTGGGGTGTGACGAGGGAGGCATAAGTCACGAGGGAAGGTGCGGCATGGACCCAGTCAGTCCTAGATGTCAGCACGCTGCAGAATGCTGACTGCAGGGAGACTGTTCCGGTTTTGTTTGGATGAGCAGGAACTTTTGTTGCCACATTCTTACAACCCATCACTCGCTTTTATCTGCATCCTGAGCTCGTGTTGGTTGAGAGGCGAGGAGGGAGGGGAAGTTAAGCTGAACCTCGCCCATTCTGAAGCAATGATGTTGCTTCCAGAAATGCTCAAAGAAGCCCAGTTTTTTAGCCTTAAAGAGGAAAACCAGGTATTTATCAGATAAAACGTTTATTTTCTTTCCTGTTTACCTCTTGATGCTGTCGTGAAGCGTTAGTTCTTCTTTTTTCAAGATACTTCTGGGCACCGTGGATGTTGATGACAGGATCGAACACAAGCGTAAAAAGTGGGAGAGAGAGCAGGCAAAGGGACGGGCTGGAACTAAACCTGTGGCTGCTGCAGAGGACTCCAGCCTTGGCGCTCACCCAGGGGAGCCATCGGGGAACCTCTGCATTACTTTCTTAACTAGCCTTGCTAATGCTTGATGAAATTATACAATTTGGCTCACGTACAAGCTGCTTGTCCAGAACCAAATACCTGTTCTCCAGCTGAATTCCAGTTGAGACATCAGAGGGTATGTGCTTGTTGTTTCTGATTGTTCGTAGAAATCTAAATCCAGAGTGGCTGAATTCTGCACAATGCGTTTGGTAAATAAGCTGATGCATTCCTAACAAAAACAACTCCACCTTCCATTTCCCCACCATGGTATCCTCCAACAGTTTTTCCATTGGTCGGGAATTTAGACACAATCACTCATCTTTCAAACTACCTGCAGTGAAATCTTTTATGGTCAAAGAACAAAATACAGATCAGTCCCCACTTCACCTTCCTCCTCCCTCCTCCATCCTTTCACCATCTTTCACCAACACCCGGAATCTCTCGTTCTTCTTCCTACTCATCATCAAAAGTCAAAAGAAAATGCATCTTTCAACTTCATTATAACTTCATTATAGAGTTCACCACAGATATTTTGTAGTGCAGTCCATGGTCAGTACTGAACATTGCACAGAAGGAAAAATCATCCATTTCATTTGATTTTCATCAGTAGTTTTAGTTTGTGAATCAAGGTAATTTTGAACTATAATAAGCTGTTTTCTGTTTCGATCCACAACCACTTATTTATTTGTTTAATGTCCCGTGGCTGCATTGCATGATGGTGCATTAAGATGAATTTGAGTCTCTGCCAAGTAGCATCAATGAAAAATGTGGTCTCATAACAGAAGTCACGGAAAAGTGTTTGCCACAGATTTTTTGCAAGCGCCGCAACCGTCTCTGCTGTCAGACTCTGGCTGTGGTAGAGCCAACGTCAGCAAGATCTCACATAGCTTTGTTTTTTCACATTTAATCAATGTGTAGATTCTTTGAATGAAGACTGTGCTCTTAAACCAGTAGCATCAATACTGATTCCAGGTCAGCGTGAATAACGAAAGCCTAACCATGGCAGGTGCTCCAGGGTTCTAGTGGCGGTGCCCCATCCACTAGACAAGTCTTTCTTCCTGAATCATCTTTTTATATGTGTTCTCTCACTAACTCTCTGATTTCAGTTTAATCTACTTATGTATGTGCTACACATAGACCTGTCAGTGTGTGTATTATCTGTGTGCTTGTCCTTAACGCTGTGCCCTCTAAACTCTTTGTGTTGCATATTTAGATGTGGTTGAACTCTGCAGGTGTCTGTATTTCTTCTCTCTGTGACGTCTGTGTCTCTCTGAAGTCTCCGGAGGAATCATCAAGCATAGAGCGATGAATGTAGTCGTAGATGTGTGCAGGGATATAAATTAGGTTACAATTACTGAGCGAAAATAATGACCTGTGACGAAAAATACAAAATAACTAAAGAGAATGCGAAAGCAGCACAACGTTCATTTTACCAATAAATTAGCACCCGAGACAAATAGATTTGATCATGAATTCACAAATCATTCAATTTCATCAAGCCAGTTTAACCAATAATAATCTGATTTACCTACGATGGGGGTTAAAGACACTAATGCCTAATGGGGAAATCTGAACCAGTCCGAACAGACTCATATGCATCCAGATAGTGCCTTAATTCAATCGGTGGAAATCAAACAGCATTTGAGGAAGGATCAGCAGTCTCGCCGGAGATGTTTATCTCCCCTTTAATCGTATTAGTCTGGTCTGAGGGCTGCTGGTGTCTTGGGCCACTTCAGCCGCTTGTCCTGCACATTACTGCAGTCGGTCTGTGCTTCACGTCCAGACAGGCTCCAGACGCAGAGACGCTGGCTGCCTGGTAACTGACCAAGTGTGGCTACAGCTTAAAGGGATTTCTTGGCATTTTGAAATTTCCTCTCATCAGGCGATATTTGTTCTAGCAAGCAATAGATGTGGTTATATGTGAGCACACTGGTCTCGCATCACTTGCAGTCCTCAAACCTGTGAGTGTTCTGCTCCCAGTTCATTTAGAGTTTTGCTACAGAGAGGGATTTTAAAAGTTCAACTAGACTTGGAAGGTTGTGGTGGAAATAGAATACTATGCAGTCATTTTATTATTAAGGCAACTCAGCATTTGAAGAAACCGACCTATCGATGTGATATATTTTGTTGACTTGTGTACTTACATTATCCAAAACGTTTCCTAGAATAATCAAACCGAGAAAAATCCTCAGTTTTATTCAATGTAAGGGGACGATTCTCTGTGTTTTCTTCTTTTCTGTCTCATGTGAATGTTTTCGAAAACCCCTCCTTTCTCTGTGTCCCATTCTGTTTCTTCCTCCCACCCTCTTGTCTTTTTGTCTCTCTCTCTTGGTCTCACTGTCTCTCACCCCTCTCTCATCTCTCCATCTGGACCACCAACAGCGGCGGCGGGTAAAGATCTCTCTCTTTTTCCTCCTCATTTCTCCCCCTCAGCCCTCTGCACTCTCGGTGCCCGTGTTTCTGAACACCTTTCCTTTTCCTCCATCCTTCATCACCGTTGGTTTCTGTACTTGTCTCCTCTTCCCTTTTCTGAATCATTGTTCAACATGGAACAGCTCTGACTCAAACACAACTAAACCTCAAGCCGATGTGTGATTTCTTTTTTTTATTGTTGAAGAACAGTGGTGTGATCATGCACACACAGAGACGGACATGTGTGCACACTTGTGCACAAAACTCAACTCACTCACACAAACAGTAGCAGTCTAACATCTGGTATAACAGCTGTAAGACACATGCACCATACACACAGCTGCTACTCCCCTCAGGACCATCGGTGACCTTTAACCTTATTCTCTTTACCCTAATCTGAGGAATTTATCAGTTTCCATGATATTAAAAGTATTTATTGAAGTAAACAGGTTGAGATTTTATTGTTTACAGTGTAGCTGACTTTTGTTATTAGTTAACAAAGTATTGATTCTTTACCATGTGATTAGATTTAGTTTCGTAAAGCACAGGCTTCCATGTAGTTTTAAATTCTTTTTAGTTTTGAGTGAGTGTTTTGGTGCAGCTGAAATATTACCTCCCCTTCTCTCATACATGTGAATCCAAACAGAAAGAGGTTTGGCTCAGCATTTCAGACAATGAAATGCTCGCTAAAATATCTTTGTCTTTGGCAAACGGCCGACAAGACAAGATTCCATGCTGTCTGAACAATGCTGTGAAACCAGCTGATCCCAGTAGTAGTAGTAGTTTAGAGTTCCTAGTAATTTACTGGTTGAGTCATCAGAAGAGAGAGTTTGGCTTTGAATTACATTTAAATTAAATTGCTACTTACTTTGGAAGTTATCACCTTTTTGAGTCTACAATTGGAAGCGTCAAGAAACTGTCATTGTGTCAACAGGACACTTCTCTCCGACCAGGCCTCTGTTTGCAGCTGCTGACAGAATATGGGGTTGCTTGTGTCCAACCTCGACTAAACTCTCTCTGCCAATGTCTCTATGTAGAATAGAGTTTCTCCATCACTCAAACTGCTGCTTAAAAAAGAGAAATATTGCAGCATGGAAAGCAAGGTTTCGATGCAGCATGAATATATTTCACCGTAAACTGGGCATGTGCAAGCCAAAGCTTTACCCGTCTCTGTAAAGCATTGAAACACATTGCAAAGTGTTAAACAGGTGTAGCTAGCAGATAGCATTCAGACAGGAATGATATCAGTCTTTTCCATAGCATGTACCGCAGCTGTAATACACCACCTAACTCTAGCATGTAGCAACAATGCTAACCCCACACGTAGAAAATAAGGCTCAGATGGAATATGATAGCAATACTGCATGTGTTGCTACGTATTTAATCCAGACGCAGTTACTCATCTTGAGTTAACTCGGACACAAGTTACCATCGAGGAATGGCTGCCCGCTGCCATTGTGGAATCCAGAGGATGAAGTCTGTCAATCACTCATGAACCAAACTAACTCTTTCAATGTGTGTGTGTGTTTGTTTGTTGTGTACATGTGTGTATGCATGCATCTGTGTTGTGTGCTTGTGTGTGTGTGTGTGTGTGTATGCGTGTGTGCACATCCAGGGGGAGCAGTAAGGGAAAAGACATCAGCACCATCAAGTCCCTGAGGGTCCTGAGGGTGTTGCGACCTCTGAAGACGATCAAACGTCTTCCAAAACTCAAGGTACGTTCAGGAGATGATGTCCCACCTGAGATCAGAGTTATCTGTACTTTCATTTTTGCGTCGCAGCTATAGATATGAATTATCGAAATTGTACAGATTTAGTTTTCCTCAAGATCCATGAATTATTCCTTTGGAATTTGGTGACAATGTTGAAAAAAGCTTTGTAATCTTTTTTAATTTTAATCATTTAACAGCATTGAAGCCACAATTTCAGACCAAAATACAGAAATGATTGTAATCCTATGTGTTTCTCTCAGATAATAATTACAGTCTGTGTCTGTGCCCCCCCTCCTCTCTCTCTCTCTGTCTCAATCCTCAGGCTGTGTTTGACTGCGTAGTGAACTCTCTGAAGAATGTGCTCAACATCCTGATCGTCTACTTGCTCTTCATGTTCATCTTTGCTGTGGTGGCCGTGCAGCTTTTCAAGGGACGCTTCTTTTACTGCACTGACGAGTCCAAAGAGTTTGAGCGCGACTGCAGGTCAGGAAACCTTCAGCGTTTCAAAAAGTATTATTAAGATTGAGTCGAGCCCCTTCAGACATGCATATCTCCTCAAGTGTCTCCTCCCCTGCCTCTGCGTGTTTATTACCTGCTCAGAAACACAAGCATGTACACACATTGCACTGACGATGTGGTTTGTGTATTTCAGAGGCGAATATCTGGTGTATGAACGACATAACGAAGTGAAGGCGCAGAAGCGGGAGTGGAAGAAGTACGATTTCCACTACGACAATGTGGCTTGGGCCCTTCTCACCCTCTTCACCGTGTCTACTGGAGAGGGGTGGCCGCAGTGAGTATGCGAGAACATGCTCAGTCACATGAAGCGCACGTGCTCCCCGATGACCTATAACCTTCTCCTCATTCCCTTCGCTTCCTCCGCAGGGTGCTGAAGCATTCAGTGGATGCGACTTACGAGAATCAGGGCCCGAGCCCCGGATACAGGATGGAAATGTCCATCTTTTACGTGGTGTACTTCGTGGTCTTCCCCTTCTTCTTCGTCAACATCTTTGTGGCTCTCATCATCATCACGTTCCAGGAGCAAGGAGACAAGATGATGGAGGACTATAGTTTAGAAAAGAATGAGGTGAGCAGGGATTAACAGAGTGAAGGAGGATTAAGATGCAGATTATGGGAAGAATGTCTGGAAGGCAGGAAGTGGGAGGATTATAACTGCTGGGTGGAAAAGAAGGGATAGATTGAAGAAAAGAGGGAAAGTTGGGACAAGATTTCAGCAGAACAAAACATTTGTTGTGTGTTTTTTTTTTTGCAGAGAGCCTGTATAGACTTTGCCATCAACGCCAGGCCTCTGACACGCCACATGCCCCAGAACAAGCTGAGCTTTCAATACCGAATGTGGGAGTTTGTGGTGTCGCCGCCATTTGAGTATACTATCATGGCAATGATCGCGCTCAACACTGTCGTGCTCATGATGAAGGTAAACACTCAGATTAACTTAACACACGTCATCTGATTATTGAGTTAACATCCATGTCTGTCTGCACCTTTATCTCATTAGTTCAGACTTTTTTTTAGATGTTGCTTATTTTAGATGTTGCACTATTTTCCTTATGTGCTAATGAATGTTTCTCTGAATAGTGTGAGCTCAATTGTGTCTCTGACTTTATAATAACCCTCCTTTCTGTCTCTGGTCGTGTGTGTGTTTGTGTCTTCCACTCGGTTGTGTTGGTTTGCTGGCATGAATGTGTGCGCTGCTTGTGTGTGTGTGTGTGTTTGTTTGTTTGTAGTATGATGGAGCCTCTGATACCTATGAAGCTGTGTTAGGCAACCTGAACATAGTGTTTACCTCCCTCTTCTCCATGGAGTGTGTACTCAAGATCATCGCCTTTGGAGCACTGGTGAGTGTGTGTGTGTGTGTGTGTGTGTGTGTGTGTGTGTGTGTGTGTTCTACTGTATTTTTGTAGACAGTCCTGAAAATCTGTATCCACATAGACTGTTATTGGTCACCAGGCAGAGAACAACAGTGAGACGGCAAATGCAAATGCTGACGGACAAACTGCAGATGCACTCAGAAGCAAATAAAAAAACATACTAACTCACCTGAAAACACATATAACGGATGAATCACATACACTGGGCCTGTGCATAACAATATAAACAGGAAGCAGATTGTCAACTCTGCAGGAAATATCCCCAACAAAAAATAGAACAATGGTAAAAAGTTAAATCAGGGATTTCAGTTCTGCGTTATGTTTTTGGGTAACGGTATAAGTCGCAGGAGAAAGGTATATTAAGCTACACTAAGATAAACAAAAGCAACTAAAAACAACTAATGTAGAGAACAATCGATTAGGAAGATTGCATGCCGCTATTTTTCATATTGTGGAGGACTTCACCGCAGCTCCATCCATTATGTTGTACCACTGGGACACATTGTTTGTCGTTGATTAATGCTCACGTATTTAAAGAGAAACTTTGAGGGAAATTATGAGCAGCAGAGACACGATTATGGGTAATAAAGAAATAGGAAACTGCTAGAAATCAGCAGTCATTAGAGCTGCAGAAGAACGGACAGAGGGTGAAGAAGAGAAAAAAATAGGGAAAGAGGACATGTAGAAGTTTAGGGAGGAGATACAGGACAAACAAGAAGATATTTCAGTAATTAGAAGAGGGAGAATGAATGACAGATGGGCGGTAATAAGCAACGATTGCAGAGAGGGTGGAGATTAAGTGGCACAGGATTTGGAATCAGGGGAGCATCCTGAAACACACTCGTGCCCCTCAGCCTGCATACGCACAAATAACTCCAGGCCTGTGTGTGTGTCAAGGTGGTTTATTTTAATAGCCGCCTCCCTTGCTCTCTCCATGTCCCTCCACTTGTCTAATGCACAGTTTGGCTACAGGCGACATGTAGGAGAGCAAAAAAAGAAGTAGACTTCACTCAACAGCATTTTGTCCTCATCATCTTTTCTCTTTGACGTATAAAGAGAACAAATTAAAAGAATTATTTGTGTCTGCGCAGATATGTGGATCCAGTTTATTGAATAGATGTAAGAGAAGGATTTTTGGGGGGGTTTGATTTCTAACATTCAGATACAGTATGTGATGTCGTCGTCTTCTGGTGCAGGACAGGTTGTCCTCAGCTGGCCTGTCTGCTGGCATCCGTTTAACATGCTGTCTCTGATGGTCCCTTTGTCCCATCTGATTTCTCTCCTGTTCCTGTCGGATACTGACATGTTTTCTTGTTTTCATTCTCTCTCTTTCTTTACCCTCATTCTCTCTCTCTTTTTGTCTTTTTCATTTCAACGTGACTTCCCTCCTGTTTTACCGTTGTCCTTGTTATTTCAATGCGGTCCATGTGCGCTCCATCTCACTGCGCCGCCCATTTCTCCGTCAATCTCTCTCAAACATCCGTGTTTGTCTAAATCTTACCGTGTCATTCTCATCACCTTCCCAACTTCCCCATTTCCTCTCACCCTCCCTCCGTCTTCTCTGTTCCCTCCGTCCCACAGAATTATTTCAAAGATGCCTGGAATATTTTTGACTGTGTGACAGTTCTGGGCAGCATCACCGACATTCTGGTTACCGAGCTGGGGGTAAGTAGCAGGATCTCATGCGTCTATATGTGTCTATATGTTTGAGGGAGAGAAGTGATATTGTGTTAGACATGTATGTTGTTAGTGACCAAGTAAAGACTGTTAGCCTCACACGTCCGTCACATTGTCTGAAAAACATACAGTAGTCAAGACAAGGAGGGGAGAGCATGAGTTAGAGGCCACTGTTGTTCATTCATGCACAAACATCTATTGAAAGTCTTATATAATTGTCCCAGTTGGTGGGACGAGGAGAGACCCGACTCAGGCTCGCCGGCACTGAGCCGCAGAAGGAAAAAAAAAAAGGCAGAAAGCCGGGCTGATGCTCTGTAGCAAGTCAGGGTGCAACGGATCACAACACTCGCGGCTCGGATTAGATCAGATCATGGTTTTTGTTCGGGTCGTTTTTCAGATCAGCAAAAAAAAAAGGGAGACAAAAATAACTTGGTTTTCTATCTATCACAAAACTTAAAGAACAATTATAACAAGGAATATTTGCAACATTCCTGATGTTTAAATAAAGTGTTAAACCGAAATATGTAATATTTACTTGTTATATTGATGTGCAAAATAAACAGTTTGTGTTGCACATTAGTTATCTAAACTGTGGTGGCCCGTCATATAATATCATAAAAACATAATTAATCTGTAAGTTAGTGTTTCGCTCCACTGGCTCCTTGACCTGTCTGCAGCGCTATTTGCATCATGCTCACTGGCACTATGTCCATAAAGTTTTTACCATCCACGTAGACAGTCAGATCTCCTCCGAGTGGCATCTGATGCAGTTTTCTAACAAGCGAGAACTTCTTTCACTTTCTTATCCGTCAATATGGCCGTAGAACTTCTAACGTGTGCTGTGTGTATATATGTATCTATGTGTGAGTGTATATACATGTTAAGAGTCTATTTTAAATGATTATTTTATTTAGAAAATGATTTCAAAAGGTGCGGTCAGACAGAACGTGGGGTATGTACGTGAGGTGGGACAGGGATTCTGACACGTCAAAACTGAGGTGAAGATGCATCTCTATGATTTGAACAAAAAGAAATTGCACTTGTGCTGACTCTTTATATATCTACTTCATAAAAGCTCAGTCGAGAAGACGAGTGAGTGACAGACAAATCCTCACAGCAGCTCTGACCTAACTTAGTGGGACAAATCTGTGATAATAACGTGAGGTGAAAATTTGCTTTGCGTTCTGTCTGATCAACTTTTCAAGAGTTGCTCTTGCAGATTTGGAGATACACCTGGTAGGGACGGGACGCTTAAACTGTATTCGTGAATACAAAGTATTTCAAAATCAGATCAATACAGTATTCGCTTCACCCACACTCTTACCTACCAGGTCTATCTGGGGAAGCAAGGGATACCAGTGACTCAAGCTCGTTCAAAGATTAAATTGATGCTATTTCACCAGCCAGGTTGTAGTAGATATTTCTGCGGCTGGTTTGTTTTTAAACTTGTTTACTATTTATATTTATTCAGAATCGATCCCGTGCTGTCTTGGTATCCCTGCTACACGTAGAATCTGCAGACTGAAAGCTGCTGCTGTGCTAACCTGTCTCTGTAATGACGTTCCATTTCTTTCTTGTTTTTTATCTTTTCACATGCTTTCTTTAAATCGTCTACAAACTTTACGACGACCCGCTGTAATCTACTTCGCCCCCCGTCCCCCATCCCCTTCTCCCCCCTCTCCCCCACTCCCAACAACTACTACTTCCTGCGACTCCATCCAATCAAAATGCACTATGAATCCTCTGTGTCCACCCATGACACCCCGGCTTGGTCAATCTCTCTGGTTGTTCTTCGAACCAACCAAAAAAAAATCCAAAAATTTGCTGCTATAAACCATATGTCTGCAACATCCACATGTAGATGGTTTGTAATTTTTTTGGAGATCTTATTTTCCTGCATCCGTTTTCCCTGCATCCCGGCCAGTGTTAACGGCTGTGAAATGTGAACGCTTTGCTTGACCCTCCACCACACAGAACTACAAAATTGTTAACATTTTTAATTTGTCACCAAGTTTACTAACCTCTCTGCCAGTCACTGTATCAATACTGTATTCTCATATATTGCTCAGCCATAAATGTTCATCCTTTACAGAAAACTAGAGCTCCGTTTGTAAAGGATTGGATTTTTTTTCCACTGAGATTTGCCATTCATTGTATGCACATATGAACATGTCCGTACATAAGGCAGTGACTGGGAGAATGTTTCCAGAAACGACTGAGCGAGTCTAAAGCTTAGCCCCTGGCAGAGAGAACAAGTGATGCATGAGGCCCCTTGCATGTCTGTGGCAGGAACTCCTTACTTTGATAAAACACACACACAAACACACACAAACACACACACACACACACACACACACACACACGCACAGTGTATTATGACCTGCATGTGCCTGCTGCCAGTCCCTTTTAAAAACAAACTGCCATCTTTTGTACTTTACTGTGGTAAATGGTTGAGCTCTATCATATAACAGATTTTGTTTAACTTTATATTAATTTAAATTACATTTTTAAATAGAATTAACTTTCAGATCATCATACACACCACGGAGCATTAGAGCCATAATTAGGGGGAAAGAAAGTCGAATAAAGTTGTAATATTGTGAAAATTATATTCATCATAATATTACAAGAAAAAAGTCGTAATTTAATTAGAAAAAGTTGTAATAATAAGAATAAAGTTGTAATTAATTAAAAATAAACATATTTCAAGAAAAACAGTTCCATTCCTTTGTATCCTTGTATCCAAAATCTTGAGAAAATACAAAACACTATTTTCTAAACAATATAAGACGTAAACAACAATACCCGTCACAATACAACTTTTTTTTCTTAGTGTTACAACTTTATTCTCTTAATATTACAGCTTCGTTCTCTTTATCTTTATATTAGAACTTTGTTCTCTTAATATTATGAGTTCATTCATGTGATATTTCAACTTTGTTCTCGACTTTTTTCCTTTTATGTGGCCTCATGCTACGTCATATCAAACTGATGATATTGGATATATATTAACTTATATATAAAGACCTTAACTGGTCCATCAACCACCGTCTTGCTCTTATTCGTCTGTGACATAGCTGTCGTATGTCACATGACTTTGGCAGCCAATCCTATTGGATTGCCTCGTATCGGTGCACATCTGCATGCTGTGTGCTTGCTTTATTTTAAAACGATTGCATATTCCTGCCTTGAGAGAATTAGTGCATTTGGTTGTCCTTCCAAGAAAACGTCCTGACATCCCTGCACATTAACTACTCACCACAATGACTCCCACATAACCCAATTGGATGAAACTAGTTAGATTTGGATGACTTCCCTCCCCCCCTGTGTTGTTTTGTTTGGTTTTGTCTAACCCAATGGATATGAAACGCTTGTCAGAGCCTTGCTGATTTGAGTTTGGTTTGCTTTGACTTGTTTGGCTCCTGGTTCTTTTCGTTTGTGTTGAGTTTGAATCAGTTTTGTTTTTGACTGTCTTTCCTTTCATTTTATTGCTTTGGTTTTGTGCAGAAAATAATTTGCACACTTTGTACTAAAACTATCTCCCTTTATTCTGACCCCAACTCCTCCCTCTCCCTCTGCTTTCATCTTCCTTATTGCTTCCTTCACTTTTCTATCTTCACCTTTCAATCCTAATCCTTTCTACACCCCATCTCTCTCTCTCTCTCTCTCTCTCTCTCTCTCTCTCTCTCTCTGGTTATGTCGTTGCTGTACTCTGTAGAATAATTTCATCAACCTAAGTTTCCTGAGGCTGTTCAGGGCAGCTCGTCTCATCAAGCTGCTGAGGCAGGGAGAAACCATCCGCATCTTGCTCTGGACCTTCGTTCAGTCCTTCAAGGTTCACTCACAACTCCTCAGCATATCACACACACAGGGGGGAAATTATATATATCCACATGTCTGCATTTTTCCTACACACGTCTAATATTGTGTACATATACATAGACAATTCCTCTGTGCAGTCTCGTAAACTAGCGTGCACGAGGCCCTCATACGATGAATGTATCTCTCCTCAGGCTCTGCCTTATGTCTGCCTCCTCATTGCCATGCTGTTCTTCATCTACGCCATCATTGGGATGCAGGTGGGTGACGGCCTTGTGCTAAAATGTGCTAGGATGCATTTGGGAAGCATTAAATGTATTTTATAGGGTAACGATGATAAGTAGGTTGACGAGGTATAGAAGCAGCTGGAGGAGGATGGTGGTCGTAAGGAGTCGGGGCATGATGGGAGGGAAAGGTTAATTAAGAAAGCAGTGGACATTTCATACACAGAGGTAGATTCAAGGTGCCAGGAGCCAATAAAGGAGGCAAAGTGCTTAAAAGAAAGAATAGAATCTGTATAAACATTTAAAAATAAATTAAATTCTACCAATGAAATTGATAAATTATAAAATTAAATACAATGATGGTATGTCCTTAGATTTTGTAAACTAGTTTTAAAGTTTTGGATTTAAAAAGTCCATGTTAACAGTTCTTGTGTTTGACAGCTGTTTGGGAATATTGCTATTGAAGAAGAAAGAGAGAGCGCCATCAACCAGCACAACAACTTCAGGACCTTCGTACAGGCTCTCATGCTCCTCTTCAGGTGCGTGTGTTTCAATGTTGTGTTTGTAATGTCTACATTACATGGTCTTTATCGTCCAAAAACATTTTTAAAAATCTTTTGAATCCTGAATCAATGAATCTCTTTTTGTGTTTTTGTAGGAGTGCAACAGGGGAGGCGTGGCACGAGATCATGCTGTCATGTCTGGGGAGTAAAGACTGTGACATCCTGTCAGGGAACACAGAGCCAGAGTGTGGCAGCCAGTTTGCCTACCTCTACTTTGTCTCCTTCATCTTCTTCTGTTCGTTCTTGGTGAGCACACAATGATCCAACTCCTCTGTCACCATTCAAGCAGACGGATAATCTTTTTTGTGATTATAAGATTATAGAGTATATATACAAAATACAGGCAATTTAAATTTTAACTTCACCTGTGGCTATGATTTTTTAACGTCGGCTGTCTTCTTGTGCACGTGTGTTTTCATGTGTAGATGCTGAATCTGTTCGTAGCCGTCATTATGGACAACTTTGAGTACCTGACAAGAGATTCATCCATACTGGGACCTCACCACCTGGATGAGTATGTCAGGATATGGGCCGAGTATGATCCTGCTGCCTGGTGCGTGGTAACATGCATGCCCTCGGGTGCACATACTCACACATATCTTCTTTTTTTTTAAAACACACCCGCTCACAGTGAAAACTCTTATCTTCCTGCCTAGAACCACTTGCACACATTATGTTTGCACAGGAATTAGAATTGGCCAAATATTCAACTCTCAACATATCACATTTCTAAATCCAGATGCTGTTTACGACGTCAGACACACCAAATGCTTCATTGTATGTTTCTTGTATGTTTCTTTAATATGCTTATTCATACAGAGCAAGGCCTAAGCAGTGACCTCTCAACAGTTTTGTGAATCTGTTTTTTTTTACGTACTTATTTCGGTCAAACGCCAGCACATTGTAATTTAAACGGCACATGACAAAAGCACAAGCGTCAATTAGTTGATAGCTGCAAGAGGGCTGTAACGGATTAGAGAATAACCTCAAACCTCTGGCAGCTGGTTATCTCTCTCGCACCGTACAACCCCTCCTCCTCCACCCTTTTTCTGTAAACTGTCCTTAAATAACCACCTCCCCCCCTCAAACCCGTTCCCAAACACCTTCCCTTCTTCTGGAATCTGAATACTGCCAAAAACTTAATGTGGCAACGTCTACACTCCAAACAAGCCTCCTCCCTGTCTGACTCCTGAAGCCTAAACATACTGTAGACATGCTAAGTTTCATGGTATCTGTATTCCAGTGCCTGTGTGTTTCCCTCATGCTGTCCTGTAGACTGCACATACAGGTAGAATACTTTAAACAGCAGCGTTAGGAACGTAAAGGAAAAAGAGATGAGAGGCTGATAATCAGATTTACAGGAAAGATACGTAAACGAAAATTAATAAGTGAAGTCTCATTTCAAAATGTTACCTCGTAGGTGTTAGAGCATTGCTTGTCTTGGAGCTAACATGCTGTTTTTCAACTGCTACATCACGGACTGTGAAATGGACACAGCTGCTCGGGATGCAGACGAAAGGAAGCACAGACACGTGGATGACACTGAACACATATTTAAGAGGGAGGCGATCTGCACACAACACAAGCAGCTATTAAGCATTTAGCTGTTCACCCAAGCATATGCTTTTCTACTCTGTTAGCAATTCCTTAATTATATCGTGCACATATCCTGTCAGGGGTTTGGACTGGAGAAAAGACGGAGAGGAATAAAACAAATGAATAAATTGTGTGCTTATGTGCGTGTGTGTGGCCCCGTACACACCTGGTATTAACATGTGGTTTTTGTGATCTGATCTCAAGTCGAACGTCTCTGAGTTCAGGTGTGAACGCATTCAGATCGGAAAGCGATCTAATCACACCAGATCACATTCGGAGGTGGTCTTTGTGACTATCTCCACAATATCAACTCTGACCTCGAGTATCATCACTCAGTGGAGTTACATGCAGCCAAAGAACCGAATTTCTGATCGTATAAGACAGAGTTTGGACTTTTAAAATGCATGTAAACACCTTAGTCCGATCTGCATCGGTAAAAAAAAGGACCATAACAGAATCTCAAAATTGGAAAAAAACACCTAGATAATTCATTGTCAGCATTCTAACGCCTTGTATACTCAGGCATCGTATCTAAATCGAATTTTGCATTCCCGCTTTCACCCGGAAGTGGAAGGAGAGGGCACTGTTAATAAATAGTAGTGTTGTTGCCGGAAAAGGTCAAACGACAGCATGGCTTCAGCGAAATCAACAACTCACTTCTGGACGCACAAGGAGATCCGTACGCCATCTTTGTTTGAAATGTTGCCCGATAGTTTGTTGTTGCTGTGACGTATAGGTCAACCGGAGGTGGCTCTACAACCACCTATTGAAAGGGCTACAGCGCCACATAGCTTAGCGGAGTCAGCCAGGCACCGGCCATTTATTCGATTCTCTGAACGGCATATATACTCAGACAAGTGACAGCAGCCCGTCCAGTTACAAAATCGGTATATGGCTTAATCAAGCTATCCCATGTATACGTACTGACTGATACTTTTCTTAAATTGATAAAATCTTCACTGCATCTCTCTCTCTTAATGGTGACACACAAACAGTGACACATCTGTAAACTCAGACGGGCTCAAAACAACATTATTTGGTCTTCGCTCACACACGACGTGTTAATTTGCATGTAGGGCGGAGAAGTGAGATCCAATCACAAGTATCACAGGAGACATTCAGGGTGTATTTTAATGCCAGGGGTGAACAGACGTACTTGGCGCTGGGGCCTTGTGATCAGAACTCTGATGACGGATGTTAAGACCAGGTGTGTACGGGGGTCTATGTGTGCGTACATCTCTGTGTATGTGGAGTGTGCATAGGTGCACTCAGGTGTGAATCTGTCTGAAGACTCTGCGATCCATTAAGAGTCAATCTCGGGTCCCATCGGCTAGTGTCTGATGATTAGCCTCTGGGGGCAACAGCCAATATTTTGTGGCTTCCAGTGTAGACGCCATCTTCCATTTGCCATTTACAGTGGAACGTCACACATCAGTAGGAATGAGTCAAACGTTTCTGCACACAAAACACAAACGGATATTTTTTGAGGGTGCTTTAGGTCCAGATGACATTTTGGCTCATCATGATTAACAGCTATTTGCATGTGAATGCAGAAAAATGGCCGATAGCTGATGCATTTCAGCCAATGTCTTTTTTTCTCTCCTTACCGACTGTTAACCTGCGGGCGACCAAAGTCTGCTCAAATGTGATTGGTCAAACTAGAAACAGACTTTGGCTCCAAAATCGTGTCCCACGCCTACAGATTCTGCATATTCCTATGCAGAATCTATTTATAGAGATTATTTGATAGTTAACATATTTTAGTATAAAAGTATTTACTGTGTATACTTGTCAATCTTGTGCTCTTCCTCCCTATGTTCTCTCTTATTTCTGGATGTTTTTGTGTGTGTTCTCCTGTGTGTGTGCTCTCGTGTGTTTCTTAACTCCCTGTATTCTTCTTGCAGCGGGCGCATTCATTATAAGGACATGTACAGTTTATTACGAGTTATCGACCCGCCTCTGGGCTTAGGCAAGAAATGCCCCCATAGGGTGGCCTGCAAGGTTTGACTTCCACTCAAACAAAATCTCTCTCAACCACACGTGCTAGCCACAGCATCCAGGAATGGAATGAATGCTGCTTTATTTATTGATTTATTTTTCATTTCAATTTTTACAACTTCTTTTCCACCATTATCGACTTGCATTCTGAACTGCTTAGAGAATGTGCGGGACAATGCAGACACCCAGAGAAGCATGTGAAATGCACAAGTGAAATGAAAAAGAAAAAAAAA